ATAAGTTACCTCACCGTGACAGTCAGGTAAGCCCTGCTCAAATTTCAGCGGGAACAGTATCAAGATTTTGTAGTTTATTCCTTTAGATGGCCTACTCTTTGATTTCCTAGTCTACTTATAATTTGGTTAATCCAAAGCACTTTTCATTTTTTTTTTTTGGCTTTTCAGGCAGCTTCACTTATCATTCAGCATTGCCCTGAGCTTTTTTCGTCCATCGATGAAGAGGTTTGTATCCTCCAAGAAGAGATAGCTTCCGTGGAGAAAGTGAGCATCACGCTGGAATTAGAAATGCAGGAAGCATTCAAAATGAAGGGTAAGTATCTTAGTTAACTCACAGCGTTATTCTCTATTCTCTTTACAACTTATCAAGGAACTGTCAGGGAAAATGTGATAGGGAGTAGAGGGTGAGGAGGGGTGAGCCTGGGGTATATCCGTATCCCGTCCGGGGAGGGGTGGGAACAATGCTTCCAGTCACCTCATGCTACGGAAAACAGGATCAGTTCCGGCAGTTGTGACCACGTGATTACACTGTGGCTTGATTACCGGCTGCAGTTCAGGAAACGAGCCAGCGTTCCTTCGGCCCGCGGAACGAATACTAGACTCGAGAGAACAGCGTAAATCAAGTCAATAAAGCCTGGTATAAAACAAGTCAAGCTGGTTTCCTTTATTCATTTATTTCGTTTTTAGACTGCGAGGAGGAGCTGGACGGTCTGTCCCAAGACTGGGTTGGAGTCGCTAAATACAGGACTGCACTTATCAGAAGAAAACAAGATCTTGAAATCTTGTACGTACAAAAAGAGCATTTTCTAGTTTAATACCACAGATCGTTATGTGTATTTGGGCATTTTCCAGTTTCAATTCATACCCAATCCATACCCATACCCGTGCCCGGACTACGTGGTCTCTGGAAGAGCATAGAGCATCCATAAACTTCGCAACTTTTCCTTGTCCTGGGCCTGCTGGGTGATCGTATTTCAGTCCTATTTCCCGCTATTCTTAATTCTTGATGCATTGCCGATCTTCGATCTCCAGTTTTTCAATTCATACACTTTCAGAAAAAGGTTATAGTCTTATTGCATTGACATTGTGCATGTCTACATAGCTTGTTTTCGTAGTAAAAGATCTAAGTTTTGTGTCATACTTTTGTCTACCTTTTTCTCGCGTTTCTCCTGTAAGGGCCACGGAGAAGGATTTGGAGAAATGTATCGATGGGCTACGACAGGAACTGAAGTACAGTTTAGAACTTGAAGGTAATTTATGAAGTGGTCATGTAATTTTTGTGTGTGTGTGAGGAGCGGTGACCTCATGGTTAGTGCGCTCGTCTTCGGATGGAGCTGTCCGATCTCGAGCCCTGGCCGGGGACATTACGTGGTGTACCAGGGCAAGACACTCCTACAGTGACTCTCTCCACCCAGGTGTATAAATGGGTACCGGCGAACTTAATGCTGGGGGTAACCCTGCGATGGACTAGCATCTCACACAGGGGGAGTAGAAATGCTCCTAGTCGCTTCATGNCACCCAGGTGTATAAATGGGTACCGGCGAACTTAATGCTGGGGGTAACCCTGCGATGGACTAGCATCTCACACAGGGGGAGTAGAAATGCTCCTAGTCGCTTCATGCTTCATAAGCTCCGACCTAATGGGCCTCTTGGCACGTATGGAGACTTAACCATGCAGTTTTGTTGTAAATGTTGTTTTCGTATATCTTGGCTGTGTTAGCTGCTTTAAACGTTGCCAGATATAACAAAAAAACAACAAATACAGCTAATTATTAGGCTACTAATGTTTTATCGTTGTCTTTTCAGGCTGGCGAAAGTCTGAGAAGAACAAAGCTCGTGACCAACTACTGCTTGATGGTCTTGTTTTCTTTGTGAGAAGGAGAGATTTAGTTTCCCAAATGGATTAAAGTTTTGAGGTTAGTGAGATGATTGAGTAACATTTCTACAGGGAATTATATTACATTGAATTCTGGGACATTATTGCCAGAACTATTTTGAAAAAAGCTGGTACAAATGAAAGAAGAATTATAGTTTGAGAGGGTTTTATTCGGAGCACTTTTTGTTTGTGTTTTTAAAGAAGAAGTTTGAGAGTCATATATGGTGGGCGACGTGAATTACTTAAATTGCCAAAGGAATTTCTGAAAGGTGTGTTTGAAATTGAATCCAGATTGTGCTGAGGGTAAGACAAAGAAAAGACATGTTTTTCGTCCACACTACGCCGGAAAAAATTGAAAACGCAACAATCACCGGTCATTTTGAATTTCTGCTTGAGGAAATCTCGGTCAGGGAAATCACGTGATTATCGTTTTCAAAACGCTCCGTTTTCAAAATGTTTCCTGTCCACACTAAAACACAAAGCCGGAGCTTTTTCGAAAAGCAGAGCGTTTTCGAAAAGCTCCGTTTTCATCGTGACGGATTAGTGTGGACGGTAGGCTCAACCGTAGAAATAAAGCTGAGCATATTTTCAAATTTCTCCGGTGTAGTGTGGACGGGCCTGGGGCCCGTTTCTCGAAAGCCCCGGAAACTTTTCGGGCCCGTAAAGCCATTCTTAGTTCATCCGTATCTAAAAACGGAGAAGTGTATACCCCTGAAACTTCTTGTATGAAGGAAACCTATTTTAATGTTAAGAAAATGTGAATAAAACAGCTCTGTAATCGTATGGTTCGAGATTTTACTGTGGCTTTCCGGGCCCGAAAAGTTTCCGGGGCTTTCGAGAAACGGGGCCCTGAACCTTTGTTTTTCTACGTTCCCGTTGTCGCTGCAGTTGTGGTTTTCTTAAACTCCCTAATGTTTTACCAACCACTAGTGTTTTTAGTAATTAGCTCAGTTACTCTGTAGCTTATCAAAGATAATTTGCCCTACTAGGACTTCTTTTGATAACTTTCAGTTTCACAATATAGGAATAATACATAATTGTTGGGCTTCGAGGTTTATTTATTTCTCAATTTTCCCTTGTTTTCTGGTTTCAGATCCCGTTCTACAAAACCACACTACTTTTTTAAACAAATTAATTGAATCCTAAGTGTATACAAACCGTTATCCGTTCAAAAATAATCCTGAAAAATACGTTATGAAATCTGTAACAAAACTTTCCAGACCTGCCTGATATTGTATTCTATGGAACTGAAACTAAAACTATTTTTGATAATGTACTACTTTCATGTAAATAATGCAAACCTTCCTTTTTTTCTAGCCGTTTTTTAAAAAGCTTTTCCTCTGTACTTTTTGTGGAAATTGATACACTCACCGAAAAAACAACTATTTTGATAGATGACGACACACTTTTCAATCTGTGAGACAGGCTAGCAAGTTTCAACATGATGTCATACTGCATGTGATTCAATCTGTTGGCTTTTTTTTTCATCCAGTCAATTTCGCTGATTTAATATCGATCATTCCTGAATGAAAGTCACTTAAGCGTTCACATCACCACTGCGCATGGCTGGATACGTTAGTTTTGTTGCTATGTAAATTGCGCATTTCTTTTATTTTGCTTTTTTTTGCGTTTCTGCGGCTTGGCTTGTGCATTTCTGTATTTGTTTTGCGTTTCTAGCCTTTTGTTTTTTTTGCAATTTTAGTTTTTTTGCTTTTCTAGGTTTTTTTTGCAATTTTAGGGTTGTGCAATTTTAGGTTTTTGCATTTGTAGGTTTTTGCTTTTCTAGGTTTTTTGCAATTTTAGGGTTTTGCAATTTTGGGTTTTTTGCAATTTTAGGGTTTTGCAATTTTAGGTTTTTTGCAATTTTAGGGTTTTGCAATGTTAGGTTTCTTTGCAATTTTAGGTTTTTTGCAATTTTAGGTTTTTGGCAATTTTAGGTTTTTTGCAATTTTAGGTTTTTGCTTTTCTAGGTTTTTTGCAACTTAGGTTTTTTGCAATTTTAGGTTTTTGCAGTTTTAGGTTTTTTGCTTTGCTAGGTTTTGGCGTTTCTAGGGTTTTTTGCATTGCTAGGGTTTTTGCAATTTCAATTTTTTTTTGCTTGCTTTTTTGCGATCGCTTGCATGCTTTTTTTTGTTTTTTTTTTGTTTTAATTTACATGGCAGCGAGGCAAACGCAGACAGTCGTGTAAAGTGGTTGCATTTGAACGCTTGCGTGGCTTTTGTTCATGAATAAATATCAGCAATTGATGATTGAAAATCAATATTAGCGTTGACGATTGAACAAATCCAGTGACAGACAGTTGGGAGGCAGCCATGATGACGTCATTTATCACTTTATCGGTCGTAAATTTTCACCCTCAGGTAAACTTGAGTAAAACAAAATGGCCATTTCAATGGTTATTTTGATGGATTTGTAACTAAAAATGAGTTTTCTCTTGTACTACAGCAATTGTAAATAAAACTTTGTTTGATCGGGATGGTAGGTGATGGTGGTGTTTTATTGATGAGAAAAGTCTTTTAGAAGTTCGAGTTTTGTTGGGATTTTCAAAAGCAGAACTTGAAAGTTGACAAAAACTCCGTCGGTTTAACTCAACTTCGTTCCAGGGTCCTCTCCTGCTCGGCCCCTCTCTCTCGCCACGGGGGCCGAGTAGGAGAGAACCCTGGGAACGAGGTTGGCTTCAACTCGGCTCAAACCCCATTTGTGTGGATAGAGTTGATAAATCGTTTACTTTTGATGAGTCAGGAAGATTAGATGAATAACGAACGAAAAACTTAGCCAGGTGACAGCCACATTTCAGATCCAATAGATCAGTCATCGGGTTATGCGACAGAGAGTCCTCACATCAAATTAGAGGATGAATAATTAATAAAAGACACGCGTCATTTGTTTCGTGATGGCCATTTTGAATTTGAAAATAAGCTGTAATCTGATGAGTCTGGTACGGCCGACGGAAATCCGACGACAGTGAACCTCCCGGGGCATTCGATCGTGAACCGATTGTTTCGAGCGGTTTCCGAACATTTCTCGGCTCCAGACCTCGCACGAGATCACCGCGCACCGAAATTCAAAAGGGTCATCACACGACCCGTAAGATAAGAGTTGAACGAAATACAAATACGCCAGGTAATGTCAACCATCTTTTAATTTATGCTTTAAATTACACACTTCTCAATTTAAAACCCTTTTTATTCCCTGTTTTATATTAAAAAGCATTTTTTCCCGGAAATTGCATATCGATTTGGTAAATAAATACGTTCTGACAATAGAAATATAGTACAAAGTTTTATGTATTATGCAAATTCGACTTCTGTTTTGTCGAAACATCTTATACGCAAGTCCACGGACACTTGAATTTTATGTATGTTTGCTTGTTAGAAAGCCTTATAGACATTTTTGAAAGCAGAAGAAAAAGAAAACATTGGGTATATATCATGCAAATTCGACTTTTGTTTTTGTCGAAACTTCTTATAGGCAAGTGCTTTGACACTTGAATGTTATGTACATTTGTTTTAAAAAGAAAAGAAAGACTGCTGTTGGCATTGATTGAAAACAGAAGAAAAATAAAACAAAAATATAAAATATGTGAAGTGGACCGTTTGGACGAAATCTGCCAAGTGAAGAACGCACACATACTGTTTGGATTTAGATAACACAAGAACGGCAGGAATCCTATAAGCTATACAATCTTTCTATTTACAATCAAACCACTCGTGGGAGGTAGTGTTATAAAACTACTCTTAAGTTTTCGCCAGTATTCTTATTTGTCGAAACTCACGAAAAATATACAATGTACAAAATGTACTTTGCGAATTCGAATCAGGCCCAACAGAAAAAAAAAATATTGGACCTGTCTGCTTACGCGTATCTGTCTGCGCTTAAATTCAGTCTATTGAGGTGAATCAAAAGCTCATGTAGGAACCGTTTCTGATGACAAGTCTCGATCGTGCAATGCGCATGTCTGTTATCAATGCACTCTTCTTGCCCACTCCCCACAGGCTGTTGATGAAGATAAGGGAGTGGAGGGACGGTAGTCGTTGTCACAGTATTAAGCGGTCCCATGTCCTGCACTAGTCATATGTTCGATTTCATTCGTGTTCTCAGCATCTGTTTCGTTCTTTCAGAGGACGTCGCCGAATTGGAAGACACCTGAAAAAGCACACCAAAAGTGACAATTGAAATGAAAGCTATGAGTTATAATTTATCGAGTTATACAACACTTGCAAAAATTTCGGACGATTTTGATTCCGAACAAAAAAAGTGCGAAATTTTTAAGCGTCCGAACTTTTTACAGTACAGTATAAGACTTTTTAGTGGCTCCAAAGCTCTTAGTTTTCTTTATGGAGCGAACTCTTGTTGAGACACTGGTTAAGATACATAAAAAATTTGTGTTATTTATTAGGCGGTATATCTGTAAAACCTTGAGGGTACCGTAAAACTATTATTTCCACAGACGTTGTTTAAGAATAATTCGTGTTTTGTTGCCGTAAATTTACTATAGTTATGTTTCAGCGGTATCCGAAATTTTTGTCCGAAATGAGATAAAGTGTCCGAAAATTGAATATCCGAAATTTGTAATGTCATGAAGCTGATTGACGGCGATTTTCCCATGCGTCGATCGAGTTCTCAAGCGTGGTGTCCGCGGGGCATGAATTAGTTGTAAAAGAACTGTTTGAAGGACACTCTGATTTAATTTCACTTGAACACTGTCATTAACGGTAATAATTGGTGGAAAGAATTATTTCAAAAGTGCGAAAAAAGTCAATGTGCTGTTAGTACTAACAATTAATCGCTTTGATCACTTCGCGTTCTGTGATCGGAGGTAAACTCGGTTTGGACTGGAAGTAAGAGTTAATTACAAATGTGTTGTTAGTAGTTATGTGATTATAACGGTTAGGAGAAACTAAATAGCATAGCTAGTGAGGAATAGAAACAAATGCACTTAACGAAAACAGCCACTGGCGGTTCGAACATCATTCAATGATGTTTTTGTTTTCTTTTGGCAAATTTCAGTCCGACATTTCTGAGATTCGACCCGTGTCACGTGCTCATTACGAACAAGTGCATTTGTTGGCTCTTTACAAAAACTTACAAGAGTGTTAGACATCCTACCTTGTACGTGTGCGATTTGGTTGACTTCCTTTTGATCTTAGGTAGGAGCACTGGTGCCGATGCACTGAAAAAAAAGCGTGGTTACACATAATTAACTGAAGGATCTCAATTTTTTTTTTGTAACTCACGCCCTCTCACTATCCCATCAAGTTTTACTTTCACCCTATCTTTTCAAGATAAAGTCTGCATACGAGCCAAGTGGCTCATCAGGCCGGAGCTTATCTCCAGTTTCAGTAGCATCAAGCGACTAGGAGTATTTCTACTCCCCCCTGGATGGGATGCTAGTCCATCGCAAGGTTACCCCCAGCATTAAGTTTGCCAGTACCCATTTATACACCTGGGTGGAGAGGGGCACTGTGAGAATTGAGTGTCTTGTCCAAGAATACAACACAAGGCACCCGGCTAGGGCTCGAACCCGGCCCTCTCGATCTGGTCGGGAGGCGAGCGCACTGACCGTGATGCCACCGCCAAGCCTTTCAAGAGAGCCTATTAGTATAAACTACGTGGTTGACCTTTCTTTTCAAGGCGAAGAATTGTTTGTCAGGGGAGATCAGTTATATTTATACCGCAAATATCACATCAATTGAAAATATCTCATTCTGTGTGGTTTCAAGGCCGCGTTTAATTCAGTGAATCGAAACAGATATTGTAGAATTTGACCAATACTCTAAGCTGTGGGAGCTACAGTGTATGTGTAAAGCTTAGCACTTTGATGGCTTGTATCAAAGCGAAGGGAGAGCTTTTCGCGCTTGTACGAGTTTGAACTTACTAAATAACTTTTATAACATGACAAGCGCAGAGAAACCAGTTAAAAGAAGTAGGCATGCAAGTACAATAACAGAACAAGAAAGAAAAAGAAGAGAGCCCTTACATAGAAATGGTACCATTAGATGCAAAAAAAGAAATATTGGTTAGCATGTATTACCATGATTCAGATTGTGTAGAGTTTTCAAGATGCGCTGCGTTTTTACGCCTCCGAGAAGGAGCTGACTTAGACCTGGGTGTTGCCCGAGGTTTTCTATATAATGAAAAGAAGAGGAAAAAGACATCTAAAGATAGAAGTAACTAAGGCAAGGTTAAGTCAAGAGAAAACAGAATAAACGTTAGAGTTGAGCTGGTGATGCAACGACTGAGGTCGTCGTAGAGAGCTCACGTCGTAGAGAGCTCCGGTCTGAGTTTTATAGGATAACACAACACTGTGTTCTGGCATGCAGACTTAACACCAAAGCAAAGATGAGTTCTACTTTGGGCGAAATAGAAGACAAAACTAGAAAAGAAATTAGGAACGTGACGTCGAGCCTCGCAGCCTGTGAGTGCCACGCTATGTAGTCTCCGTTTTATAAAGGACAAGGGGTGTTTTACACTCTCCCTGGACGAAGCGATCACCCATCCCAGTTTACAGAGAAGGTTTCATATTGAGTCTCGTAAAAGTAAAAACAAAGTTAAAAGTCTGGCCAATCAAAAAGGACAAAGCACAAAAGCGCGGGAAAACCTGTGTGAGGGAGTCTTGACAGCATTTGGTTTAGTAGCCTGCGAACGCAGATGTATTTCCGGCTGTCGCTTGTCTCCGCCGAAAATAACGTCCGCGAACCCGAGCCAGGAAACGATTTCTGTGATGTAATGACCTTTGTTTCTACTTGGCCAATCAGATTCCATGATAGAATGAAACTCGAGTGTTCCTCGCGGCGAATACCTCGCGCAGTAGTTCTGGGGCTACTTGAGCTAAACTGTGATTGGCTTAAAATTCCCACGTCACAGAAATCGTTTCCTGGCTCGGGTTCGCAGACGTTGTTTTCGCCGGAGACNACCCCAAAGCAAAGATGAGTTCTACTTTGGGCGAAATAGAAGACAAAACTAGAAAAGAAATTAGGAACGTCACGTCGAGCCTCGCAGCCTGTCAGTGCCACGCTATGTAGTCTCCGTATAATAAAGGACAAGGGGTGTTTTACACTCTCCCTGGACGAAGCGATCACCCATCCCAGTTTACAGAGGTTTCATATTGAGTCTCGTAAAAGTAAAAACAAAGTTAAAAGTCTGGCCAATCAAAAAGGACAAAGTACAAAAGCGCGGGAAAACCTGTGTGAGGGAGTCTTGACAGCATTTGGTTTAGTAGCCTGCGAACGCAGATGTATTTCCGGCTGTCGCTTGTCTCCGCCGAAAATAACGTCCGCGAACCCGAGCCAGGAAACGATTTCTGTGATGTAATGACCTTTGTTTCTACTTGGCCAATCAGATTCCATGATAGAATGAAACTCGAGTGTTCCTCGCGGCGAATACCTCGCGCAGTAGTTCTGGGGCTACTTGAGCTAAACTGTGATTGGCTTAAAATTCCCACGTCACAGAAATCGTTTCCTGGCTCGGGTTCGCAGACGTTGTTTTCGCCGGAGACAAGCGACAGCCGGAAATACGTCTGCGTTCGCAG